GTTTGATATTTTGTAGGTAGTGCAATGTTACTAAAAGTTGATCGATTTGGGGGAAGAACATGTAATAGCCCATTGCAATGCAAAATATTTATATACTCGGATTATAAAGATGTCTTCAGAGCAGGGATTCAGATATCCTAAGATGGGAATATTCCTTGTACTTAACGGCATTGAAAAATAAAGGAATATGGATCAACTTGGGGTGCCAGGATCATCCAGAAAGCAACTTCAAACACGTCGTATTCCAGCTGTGGTAAGCAAAGTGCGGCGTCTTGTAACAGGTGAGAATTTACCAACACAGAGTTCAGTGGCAAAGTCGTCCACGTGCCCCTGGCGACAGTATGTAAAATAATCAAGAAGAATCACTATCAGGTAAAACGACATACCCCACGTGTACACTATTTGTTCAGCCGTTGCATACCTCAAGCAGTTGGAAAATGAAACAGGTATTCGGAGACATACTGGTTTAGTCGCCATGAATTCTGTGATTAAACTACTGAAACTGGCTCTGGGAAACTCATTCTCGTCCACTAGATGACTTATGGAAAGCCTGCATGGAAGGTTTTATGTGCTTTAGACATGGCAGTCTTTCAACGAAGCTTTTGGCAATAGAAACTACGCTGCAAGGGTATGGTTGTCAGATAGAACATGACAATACTGGTGACATGAACTGTAACGATGTGGTCAATATTTTAATATAACGTATTCAGCCTCTGTATTATTATTATTACTTTAAATATTAAAAAAATCAAACATTCAAAGTCTTAAAGTTCGAGTCAATTAACAATTAAAGTAGTCTATGCATAGAGGAATAAAATATACGAATAGGAAATTCAAACCGCAAAAATAACAACAGAAGAGGCGATAAAACTATTTTTATTGCAGTATTTTTGTACAATATTCAATATAATTCCCTAGTTAACATATACAATGAATGAGAACGTTGTAAAGTGGCAATGCTGTAAAGGTGTGGCGTCAGATCGTTGTATTCAGAACTTGTGGTGGTGTGTTTTAATTAGCTTTATTATAACGTGTTTTTGTCAGGAGGAATACAATGCAGAAGATACAGAGTGCTTCCGTCGGTAATCAATAGCAGCTGTTACGTTTTCCTGTTGTGTTTTCATTTATTTTAATATCTGGAAATAACGTAGTACTTTTACTCTTCTGAAAAGCAGTGTATCATTTTATTATGTTTGTATAACAGACAATAAAGTCCACAACATTTTACTTACACTGTTCTTTACAAACCTTGTACACTTACTAATTTTGTTTGGAGGATGTGGGCACAGTTGGTGGTGTACAGGCGTCAGGCACGTGGATTCATTCTCCTCGAGGCACCTGAATTACAAGTGCACGAGATACAGTGTACACGAGCGTATAATTAAAACATTTCTTTTCCTGATATTATTACGTTGTTGCGTTTTAACCTAAGGTTTTCACTACAAGCTTTCTCACTTTGTTGAATAAAAAAAGTTTCTTGTTTTGTTCTGCTGTGATATTTAATGGTCAAATATGGAGGATACCTTTTTTCTGTCCACATCTATTTAATTTATTCTAATTGTTGAAGAGCTTTCAAAGCTTAATATGAGGGGAATATCATCGAAAGTTGACCAAAAAATGTGTATCATTTCGATAGGTGCAATTAAAAAGCGCAAATTGAAACGTTTTGAATAGAATTAATTATCTTTCTTTTTTAGATACTTCAACAAATTCAATCTTTGTTTTTTTTTCTCTGGTGAAATGTAAGCATTGTGTCTACGTGGTGTTGATTTTTTAAAACACGAAACTAACCAGTTCATACAAAGAAGAATTTCCTCTAGTGACTCTATTTTAGCACATCCGGGTCTTTCTGCGTGTAAATAACGAAAGCAAAAATACGAGTTTCACAATCACAAATCCTGAGTCGATCTATTCGTCTGCTGAATTATTTACCTAGATGATGTTTGCCAAAAAACACAGTCTATAAAATCTGTCCATCTCTCTGTAGCCTTGTCACTAAGTTGGGATCGTAATGAGTTGTAGATTCAACATAGGAAAGTTTTAACGTGAATACTGTAAATTAGCTTTGTTAGTCTTATCTGAAGAAGTGTTTTATGGGGGAACAGTTACCAGTCCTTAATAGTTGCCATCAGATCTCGCCATCGAAGCGAACGAGTCCGCCGAGGCTACCAACAGGCACGTTCAAGACATGGCCAAAGTGATCATCAGAATGATCACTGACGGTAAGTAAAGACTATTTTGTAACTGTGAGACAACCATTTCTATGTGGCCGACAGCGCCATCACAGTGTAAAACTTCTAAAAGTATTGGTTTTTCCTTAAACCAGCTCACCCATATTCAATATATATATATTTTTCTATGTGGCCGACAGCGCCATCTCAGTGTAAAACTTCCAGAAGTACTGGTTTTTTCCTCAAACCATCTCACCCATATTTAATATATATATATTATTTTTCTATGTGGCCGACAGCGCCATCTCAGTGTAAAACTTCCAAAAGTACTGGTTTTCCTCAAACCAGCTCACCCATATTTAATATATATATTTTTTTTCGATGTAGCCGACAGCGCCATCACAGTGTAAAACTTACAAAGTACTGTTTTTTTCCTTAAACCAGCTCACCCATATTTAATATATATATATATTTTCCTATAACGACTTTGACTTGATAATGGAAGAATCTTGAATCCAAAAATCATCAAAAACATTTTTGGAAGGCGATAGAATATTAGTAACCAATCTCGAAGTGTGAAACATAGATGACTATTGTTTGACACAAGCACAGCTAAGTGACTGTTATTTCCATACTGGTTTTGCCTCTCAGATGTGGGCTATGCAGTTAAAAGAAGTCCCATTATAACCGTGAAAACAAAATCACATCTTCGAAACTTTATTATTAACACGTACCAAATCACGTTAATTAAACAACTATGAAAAATGTATTATATTCCTATTCATAGTAATAAAAACTCCAGCTATTAACTTGGAAGAACTGCACCAGTTTGATGTACTCCCCACTGATTGATTTATTTTTGGTTTACAAGATGGAAGCATCAGTTTAACTAAATAGGCTTAGTTTCAGCAGCTGTGTACTTGATTGAGGTATTATTATAACTGATCTGGTTGACTTCTGTATTTCTTCTAAACGAGGGACTATTGTAATTGATCTGGTTCACTTTTTGATGTTCTTTACTAGACGGGGTATTATTGTGTCCAGTCTGGTTCAATTGTTATATTTTTTCTAGATAAGGTTATTATTGTAACTAACCTGGTTAAACTTGCGTGTTCCTACTACGCTGGGTACTATTGTGACTAATCTGATTCAGATTCTGCTGTTGTGACTAATTTAGTTCAACTTCAATTTAGAACTGCATACCAGAGGAAGGACACCAGTTAGTAACACCAGCTGACTATTGCTATTTTAATATAATAGCAGGATTGACTGTAACGATTGTAAATCCTCCTCAGCTGCAGTGTAAAGCGTGATCAGCAACTATTATATATATATATATATATATATATTGCTTTATCGTGTTCATAACTAAAGCTTGAAACTTGGTCGCTATCAAGGTTGGTTTTTCAAATGACTTAAGTTGGTATGTTTAAAAATAAGTGATGGTTTCTTTCATTGATTTAGTTTTTTTTTATCGAATGCTCAACTCCTTCTACGTTTCTCCAATTGTCACATTCACTTATTTCTCACGGTAGGGCTAGGGTTGTTATTCAACAACTACTTTTCTATGGAGAATATCACTATATACAAGCAGGTTTACCTAGCAAATTGGCCCGGCATGGCACTCGACTCGCAATCTGAGGGTCACGGGTTCGAATCCCTGTCACACCAAACATGCTCGCCCTTTCAGCCGTGGGGGTTAACGAGATTCCCACTGTCCCTATCTACTATCTAGCGAAACCACAGCCAAGGGAATAGTCAATCCCACTATTCGTTGGTAAAAGAGTAGCCAAAGAGTTGGCGGTGGTTGGTGATGACTAGCTGCCTTCTCTCTAGTCTTACATGCTAAATTAGGGACGGCTAGCGCAGATAGCTCTCGTGTAGCTTTGCGCGAAATAAAACAAAACAAAAGCCTAGTAAATCCTATTTACGGTATTCTGCTGTTAAACTTTTTTTTCTCGGAAATGTTTGTCGTTTCACATATTTGAATATCATTGGGTGAGTAACTACAACAACAGGAGTTGGATATAGTTAAGGTATTACATTTTTCCAGCTGTCAAGTGTACCTTAGTGTAACACCATCCACGAATATTTTTTTTTACTAATTTTGCTAGTTTGCACTGTATATTTTATATAAAAACTAAGATAATTTTAACATTTTATAAACTCGATATAATCGTATTTTCACAAAGTTCACATATCTGCAACAATATTATATTTCGCAGTTACAAGAAATCCGCATCTGGAGAACATGGTGCAGTTAGCAACAGTCTGGAAAGGTTAAATCATATTGACTCAGATGATGTATAACACCAAAGATGGCAAAGCGTAGCCTCTTTTCAGGGTATCAAGTGTAACGAACCATTATACAAAGGTGGAAAATAATGTGTCGTTAGTAGTCACTGAAGATGTTAAATGATATTGACTTAGATGATGTATAACACCAAAGATGGCAAAGCGTGGCCTCTTTTCAGGGTATCGGGTGTAACGAAACATAAAGGTGGAGAATAATGTGCCGTTAGCAGTCACTGAAGATGTTAAATCATATCGACTTAGATGATGTATAACACCAAAGATGGCAAAGCGTAGCCTCTTTGCAGGGTATCAGGTGTAACGAAACATAAAGGTGGAGAATAATGTGCTGTTAGCAGTCACTGAAGATGTTAAATCATATCGACTTAGATGATGTATAACACCAAAGATGGCAAAGCGTAGCCTCTTTGCAGGGTATCGGGTGTAACGAAACATAAAGGTGGAGAATAATGTGCCGTTAGCAGTCACTGAAGATGTTAAATCATATCGACTTAGATGATGTATAACACCAAAGATGGCAAAGCGTGGCCTCTTTTCAGGGTATCAGGTGTAACGAAACATAAAGGTGGAGACTAATGTGCCGTTAGCAGTCACTGAAGATGTTAAATCATATCGACTTAGATGATGTATAACGTCAAAGTGACAAAACATCATCCATCTTGAGGACAAGTGTTACGAAACATCATGCTTATGCTTAATACTTCACTCTTAACTAGGTTCTTGTAAGAAGAGTGCATAAAGTATTCATATTCTACTCAAAATGTTGTTACTAATGGATACACTTTTCTTACCCGTATCGGGCCTGTTAAGAATAATGTGTTAAACTTGCATTCACAACACTTGATATCCTAAAAAGGTAAAATTACTGTTTATGGGAAAGCATAAAACCAATTGTTTCATTGGTACAAACAAATGAAAATTAATTGTCAGTAAACGAGAGTTGAATAGCCATTTGTTTTGTGCTCAGATTCTTCTAAACCATTAAAAAAAACCATATGGAGGAGTAACATAAACTTGTTCTTCAGCTGAAAGTCAGAGTTACCTGGTTTTCATAAGCGAGTGGTGATGATGGAAGAATACCAGTCTGTTAGCATATATTGTTTAAAGCGAGTGGTGATAATGAAAGAATACCAGTCTGTTAGTATATATTGTTTAAGATAAAAACTAATTTCAAAAACAATAAAGTTATTAATGTAAAAACAAAACACATTATAATCATGTTTTATACGGTTCAAAGCGAACACAGAAAAATGGAGTCACATACACACTTATACTTGTTATTATATATGCCACGTGAAAAGGGCAAGGGGTAGACGTGTGATAATGGCGCGCCATCTATTGTCGTGCAACACAGAACAGCAACCCCTCCTTCAGTGTGTTCATATCAAACACCTTCGAGTGTTTTGCGTGCCGTCATGTCGTTTGGCCGGCCAGCAATAGTTCTGAACGAGGAACCTGTTTGTTGTCTTGTTTTTTTTATTGTCTTCTAACCGGCTCTGTTCTTAGTATTCGTTGGACTGCATAGCTGAATCCACGCCTCGAGGCGTTAAGCTCGAAACTTGTTTCTGTTCTCTGTATATTGAGGGGTTAGGTTTAAGCTAAAAAAGATACTGAACTTTTGCAAGCAAGCACCAAGCATTAACTACTTGTAAAATGTTAGCTCCCCCCTCATCTTCTTCTGACTTTACTCCCTTTCTGAACATAGTCGAGCAAGTTGATGTTGATTTAAAACAAATGTATTAGATTCTTTGAAAAATTGATTTTTTCCGCAACAAACCATAACTAATAATAATAATAAGAAAATCTTAAGAGATGCAAAGTTTTATACTATAATAATGGTTATCCACTGAGACTGTCATCTACCATTTAGTCACAGGTGTAGCTGTAAAGGGGGGACGCCTTTGATTATATAGATAAGTATACAAGTTATGTGACTTTTAGATTTAACTTTTCAAGGAACACGCAAAAGCAACGCAGATGCATGATATGAAAACCAGAGTTTAATTAAGAACTAGACGCGAGCTGCAAAACATTTGCGGTAATTTTTATGCCCTTTCTTGAATTTTTCTTATTCAATCATTTTCATGCACGCCATTTAAGCTACGCTTTCTTGCAGGCATTATGTGTTAGATCGATAAATCCTGGTCTATTTTTTAAAAAATGTACGTGGTCAGACAAACAAACTCACGTACACGTAACTTTATTTAATAAAACTACACATACGTAACCTTATTTGATAAACCTACACGTAAAGTAAACAATAAAGTAATGGTATTTATAATAGTGCACAGAATATGAAATAGTTATAAGCATTCAGTGTATGACACCATTTTACGAGTTGAAACAAATAAAAACGAAGAATATAACCCACAGTAAAGAAAAAAACAGCTAAAAGGTGTTTATAGCAGTCTATGAAACTAAATGAAGCTAAGTTATTGTAAAGTTGTAACGAAAGCAAACTTATCTGAATATGCAGAAACGTCTGAATGCATGTTCACAAAGATAAGCATGCGGTTTTGAACTAGCTGCCCAAGCGTATTTCAGAACTAAATAAGTCGAGAAAGCCCTCAAAAATTGTATTTAGTGTAATGTTCATTATACTTTAGGAAGTTACACGCGGGTTAAGTGTTGTTTGTGTGAAATACTTTACAAATAAAAAAACAACTAAAGTTGAAATCGAAGCCAGTCGTCAGCTGATGACAACGACATTGCACCATCGTGTAACATACTCGTTGCAT